TCTCTCTCTCTCTCTCTCTCTCTCTCTCTCTCTCTCTCTCTCTCTCTCTCTCTCTCTCTCTCTCTGTGTGTGTGTGTGTGTGTGTGTGTCTGTGCTTCGGGAAAAGGATCTCTGCTTTTTTGGGGATCTTGTTTCAGCACGTTGAACTTGTCCTGCAGCATTTGGATTCCAAACTTGTTATCTGCACAAGATGTGTGATCATGAAGCCTGGTACCATTTCTAGTTCCACCTCTACCTATTCGGGTGGCATAAACCACTACCACACCACTGTTTTTTCTTTCGTTTTTTTAGGGTAAGTTTCAAAAATAGCGCGTTTGTGGTAGTTTCACAGCAAAAATAGTGGCGCCGCCCAAGGTTCGTTGCAAAAATACATCTTCCGTTGCAGCTGTACTGGTCCCGGTAGTTTCACAGCAAAAAGATTTGCAGGCAGGGTTCCATTTTCGTTGCAAAAATACAGCTTTTGGACCCCTACAACATTCCGCTGTGAAACTTCAAAAACGCGCTATTTCCGCAATTACGGTTGAATTACCCTTTTTTTTTTTTTTTTGTTGAAAACAGGACCTTATGGTCCTGGCTCCTTCTATTCTGGGGAGCATCAGTCCGGTTCCTATTCCACCGGCAAGTCAGAAAAAACATTACATTAGACCACAAACTCACGCTTCCTTCCGTTTGGCCGAAGGACCCCTGATCAGCATTGATTACTCCACCGTTGGCGGAGGATTGACTGTCAGCTTGCCATGACTCACTCCCTCCTCTCAGACCTGAAAGTCCAGTTCTGCCAGATAGCGCTATGTCACCTAGACACCTTACCAGATAGTGCAGGTTAACTGGGCATCTGGTTTTTAGAAGGATCTTGCCCATTATTCCTGTTCATCTATGCTTTCCTCCTCATCCGCCCTGTCCGTGTGTCAAGGTATCCCTTCCCCCATGAAACGTTCCCCCTCCTTTTGAGGATCGCTAAACCCTAAACCCTAACCCCTCGATCAGCGGCCCGGCGGGAGTGAAACGGTATTCACCACTTCGCAGTAGCTGATGCAGATCCCAGGGCTCGATCCCTAGTTCCCCACCTTACCTGTGTACAGTAACTGTGTCAACCCGTAGATTTGAACCTGCGACCTGTAGGACCGCCAGTGGTAGGTAGGATCTCGTAGGTTACAGGGTATAGGGGATTCGAACTGTAGACCTGTCGGGTGGGAGTCTAGACAGTCCAGAGGTTGTAGCTGTAGACTGTCCGAAGGGTCAAAGTCGTAGCTGCTACTTACCTGAAAGGGCAGAGTCGTAGCTGCTACAGTACCGAAAGGCCAGGTAGAGAGTTCTAGAAATGGCCTTTCGGAAGTCAGCCCACTATAGGTCTAGGCAAGTGGGCAAGTGGTGGAAGTCCACCACGCAGAGGCAGCAGTCCCAGTCCAGCCAGTCCGGTCCAGTCAAGCAAGTACCGTCTGGGACAGTGCACACCGTGGGCCAGGGAAGCAGGGCAGACCAACAACTCACAGAAGTATAAATCAAGAGGCTGCGCACAGCCATTCATTCATTCCTGCGGAAGTCATGCAGAAGCACTGCCTCAGCATCTTGTGCGAGTAGGTCTGCAGTGTGCCCGAAGTCGAAGACGGCAGAGAAGTGTAGTATAGCGATAGGGTAGAGGCAGCTAGCGCTGCCATAGCTATAGTAGTAGTGTGTGTGTGTTGCGTGAGTGTGCAGAGTGTCGTGTGTGGGATATCCAGGGTGATCCAGTGTGTGAACAGTGGATGTTGGGCGCTCAGTCGCCATAGCCAGTGGAAGTGAAGTTACCTGGAAGCCATATCTCCGTGTACTGTGTGGGCGCATGTTGCCAGTTTGTTGTGCTGCTGTTCACGTGCATGAAAAGTGAGAATGAGTCGAGTCTGATTGCACTGGTATCGGAGCTGGTTCCCGCTATCCCATGCGCGCCGTCGTGTGCAGGGCCGATGCGCCATAGCTGAGGTGGCCGCTGGAAGGTGACAGTCCGCCATAGCGGACCTGAGGAGGAAGAAGCCGCCGCACACCTGCAAGGAGACCACGACGAAGGAGAAGAC